GAAATTATCAAATCTACCATCTTAAATGGAGATTTTTAACAACTCTCTCAGCAATTACTAAGATCAAGCAGAAGGAAAAAATTAGTAAGGATATAGAAAATTTGCACAGCAGAATTAACAACTTCCTATAATGGATATGTATAGAATATTGCACCCAATTAATATAAAAAATTATTTTCAAATACACATGATTCATGTATGAAAGTTGACCCCTGGTAGGTGCTAAAGCCAGTCCCAACACATTTCAGGGATCAATATCATAAGGGCCACATTCTCTGACTACAGCCCCACTGAGTCAGATCTCAGCACCAAATGACAGCAAAATAGCTGCATGCTAAAAAGTAAAAATCTTATAAACCATGTGTTAAAGAAGAAATGCTAATGGACATTACAAAACATTTAGAAATAAACAATTACAAAACTACAATAACACTTGTGGAACTAAAGTGGTCACTTAGAAATATGCAGACTAAAATGTTTACATTAGCAAAGAAGACTCAACAATTTTAAACTATGTATTAAACTTAAGAAGTCAAAAAAAGAAGAGCAAAGAAGTTAAGTGAGGCTGGGTGTGGTGGTTCATGCCTGTAATCCCAGCACTTTAGGAGGCTGAGGCAGGTGAATCGCTTGAACTCAGGAGTTTGGGAACAGCCTAGGCAACATGGCAAAACTCCATTTCTACAAAAAAATACAAAAATTAGCCGGGTGTGGTGGCACAATCCTATAGCCCCAGCTACTCGAGAGGCAGAGGTGGGAGGATGGCTTGAGTCCAGGAGGTCAAGGATGCCGTAAGCGGAGATCACGCCACTGAACTCCAGCCTGGGTGACAGTCAAACCCTGCCTCAAAAAAAAAAATAAATAAATAAAATAAAATAAAATTAAAAAAGTTAAGTGGCTTTTCCCAAAATCATTTGATAAATGGCAGAGCTCAGATTCAAAACCAAATCTCTCTCATTCAAAGGCTATGATCTTTTCCATATGGCTTTTCCAAATAAACAAGTGAGTTTCGGCAAGAAAAGTCTTAGTGGTCTTATAAGAGAAAAAAAAAAAAAATTCTTTCTTAAATTTCTTTTTATTTTTAAATTTTTATTATTTTTTTAATATTAGAGATGAGCTCTCAGTATGTCTCAAACTGGTCTCGAACTCCTGGCCTCAAGCAATCCTCCCACCTCAACCTCCCAAAGTGCTGGCAGAAGCCATGGCACCCAGCCAAGAAAAAAACTCTTAAAGCAGAATTGAAGTTTTCAAGAAGGTGTTGCTTAAACTACTAGAAAACTGAAAGTTCAAACATTCAAAATGATGCTGAGCAGGCTGGACACAGTGGCTCATGCTTGTAATCCCAGCCCTTTGGGAGGCCGAGGCTGGTGGATTACCTGAGGTCAGAAATTCGAGACCAGCCTAGCCAACATGGTGAAACCCCATCTCTACTAAAAATACAAAAAAATTAGCCAGGCATGGTGGCAGAAGCCTGTAATCCCAGCTACTTGGGAAGCTGAGGCAGGAGAATCACTTGAACCCAGGAGGCAGAGGTTGCAGTGAGCTGAGATCATCACACCACTGCACTCCAGCCTGGGCAACAAGAGCCAGACTCCATCTCAAAAACAAACAAACAAACAAACAAACAAAAAACGCTGAGCAATTTATCTGACTTACATGTGTTTTCAGTTATTTTAATTTACTTTTCCTATGTACTGAAACTTGCCTTCCTGAATACTTTCTGGCTTGGTTTACACTGAAGTTAACTTAGTAAAGCTTTTCTAAAAATTATTTTGGGGGGTGTGACCTTAGAATTCTGCTGGACCTCAAGGCATTTCTCATTACAACCCATGCACCTTCAGATAACTGGATGGCATCCTTACTAAGAGTTCTCTTTCTAGTTTAGAGTTTTTGTGCAGTTGTGATTAAATAACAGCGGGTCAGACTGCATTATTCTTTGCCTTCTGTCCCAGTCCAGTGTCATCCACATAACAAAGCACCCAGCACCACTTGGGCAGGATATGACTGCCTAGAAATTACTTTTTACTGCAGGGGGAAAAAAGATGCCTGGTAATTCTCATCCTTCACTGAAACTGACTTTCGGTTGAAAAGAACTTAAAATAGCCTACTCCTCTCATTTGTCAAAGATACCTAGTCAGGAATTTGTTTCCTTAAACTGTTAATCTAGAAAGTGCCAAGCTACAAATGAAGAGATAATCTTTGTTCCTCAAGCTCCCACTAACAGCAACTGTTTTCTACCCAGCCTACGGCTATCCCTTGGGTCAAAGTTTTATGAGGCATATTAATAACACAATTATAAAATCAAAACAGTCTTCATCTTAAGTACTGGAAGTATATCTTAAATATTATCCGTTTTTTCAAGAAAGGAGGGTTATCTATAGCAAGGGTGCCCAATCCCTGGACCACAAACCAGTACTGCTCTGTAGCCTATTGGGAACCGGGCCAAACAGCAGGAGGTGAGTGGCAGGCGAGCAAGCAAAGCTTCATCTGTATTTACAGCCCGCTCCTCATTGTTTGCATTACCGCCTGAGCTCTGCCTCCTGTCAGATCAGCAGTGGCATTAGATCCTCACAGGAGTGCGAATCCTGTTGTGAAGAGCTCATGCAAGGGATCTAGGTTGCTGGCTCCTTGTAAGAATCCAATGCCTGATTATCTCTCACTGTCTCCCATCACCCCCAGATGGGACCACATAGTTGTAAGAAAACAAGCTCTGGGCTCCCACTGGTTCTATATTATGGTGAGTTATATAATTATTTCATTATATATTACAATTTAATAATAATAAAGTGCACAATAAATGTAATGTGCGTCAATCATCCCAAAACCATCCCCTTCCCTGCCCCACATCCAAGGAAAAACTGTCTTTCACAAAAACCAGTCCCTTGTGCCAAAAAGGCTGGGGACTGCTGATCTATAGTATAATATCCCCCAAAAAGCAAACACTGCCGCAATTGCAAAACTAACCTTAATCCTTTCTGGGACTTAATATCTATACCTTTTAAGATTCTTGTCTCAAATTCAATGTCCAAATAATAATCATGAATTAATCATACTCTGTTTTAAACCATTAAATTCACCAGTTTAAGATATTTTTACACACAAACTCTGAAAGTTAGCTCAATGTTTCACCTCAAAACTTTACATAAAAAGAAAACTAGCTAAGATGGGAACAACATCAGCAAAGCTTTTGAATCTCTCCTCTCTACGTATAAAACCAGACAGAACAACTAGAGAGCAATACCCAAAACCCAGGAATAATGTGCACAGCAAATCCATGTGACAAAGTATCCTCACCAAACCCAGAACACAAAAAGGTGAAGAAAAACCGCCAACAGCCATATAACCTGCACGGTGTCTGTGGCTGGGCAGTGGCTGGGCAGGAAAAACAAAGCAACAGGCAATCAGACCTGTGAAAAGGAAAATTCCAAAAGAGCCAACAGGCATTACTAGAAAACATACAGGGACAGTCTGACAATAGTAGCTCACACTGGAAGGAATTTTGTCCACTCCAGTAAGGAGTAGGTTTAAGGGGCCCATGGTAAGAAACTGTGAAGGCGCCCAAGCAGTTGTGCACCATGAACTCTTGAAACTGACCTGCCAGGGTTCCCTTCCAGAATACAGCCTCACACCAAGGAGAAATCTCAAGAGACAAAACCAAACTCCTGAAATAGATAGACAAGAGAGAAAAAGGAAAGAGAAGTAGTGGAGGAGGGGAAGAAATCCAGGAACTCTCAGGAGACAGGAGGCCATCGTTTAAACACTATACTGAGAACAGCTAAGAGGGAGCTCAGTGAAGTTACAAAGCTACCCTGAACCATGTCTCTTTCTAAAAGTTCAGAAAAACTGAGTTCAAATAGAAATGAGCAACAGAAATGACTCAAGCTCAAATGCAATCCAAAGTTCTATAAGAAGTAAGAGAAGAAGAAGCAGAACAACATCCTTATGAATAACAAATGCAGTCAGGAAGACATGCTCATAAATACATAAATAAATAACAACATGGTGTGGCGTAGTGGCTCATGCCTATAATCCTAGCACTTTGGGAGGCCAAGGCAGATGGATTACCTGAACTCAGGAGTTAGAGACCAGTCTGAGCAACATGACCAAACTCCGTCTCTATTAAAAAAAACAAAAAATTAGCCGGGCGTGGTGGTGGTCCCCTGTAATCCCAGCTACTCAGGAGGCTGGGGCAGGAGAATTGCTTGAGCCCAGGAGATGGAGGGTACAGTGAGCCAAGACTGCACACTGCACTCTAGCCTTGGTGACAGAGCCAGACTCTGTCTCAAAAAATAAAAATAAAAATAAAAATAAAATGAGGTAAATGGCATAAAGAAAATGATGCATGAGAGAACAAAACAAATCAGAATCCACAAACTCAGATGAGGTAGAGAAGTCAAGTGGTAACTAGAAATAAAATAAAAAGTCATTTCAAAAATAAACAGATAATTAAAAGACACAGAAGACAAAAAGGAAGAAAAAATTAAAATAAAAAGAAGAGGCCAGGCACGGTCACTGATGCCTGTAATACCAGCACTTTGGGAGGCTGAAGTGGGAGGATTGCTTAAGCCCAGGAGTTTGAGACCAGCCTGGGCAACATAGTGAGACCTCGTCTCTACTAAAAGTCAAAACATTTAGCCAGGTATGGTGGCATGTGCCTGTTGTCCCCACTACTTGGGTGGCTGACGTGGGAGGATCACTTCAGCCCAGGAAGTCAAGGCTGCAGTGAGCCAAGATCGTGCCACTGCACTCCAGCCAGTGTGACAGAGCAAGACCCTGTCTCAAAAAAAAAAAAAAAAAGAGAGAGAGAGAGATAAAAATGATTAAAAAGAAAGTGATACACAATGAAATGGGTAAAAAGAATTATGTAAAGAAAGATATGAGAAGTTCCTAAAGAATAAAATAAAAGTAAGGACACAAAAAATGATAAAAAGTAATAATATAAAAATTTCCTGAAGTTTAAAAAAAAATTATGAAACTAGATATTGAAAGCTTCTACCCCATACCTGAGAATACTGACCCACAACGTCCAACACCAACACACAGTCTAATGAAATCACTGGACACTAGAGAATGAGAAAAAGAAAATAATGGGTATTTAGGCAAAAACAACGAATTTTCAAGGGAAAAAAATAGATTATCATCAGGCTTTTCAATAGCAATGCTTCATTCAAAAAAAAAAAATAAAGTATGTGAGCTACTCAAGAAAAATAAATGTGAACCAAAGATTTCATATCCAGAAAAGTTGACTTCAAAGTATAAAGAGCACTAACAAACTGTTATCAACATGCAAAAACTCAGGGCATATTGTTCCCATGGCCACTTCCTGAAGAATCCAGTTGAGAATGAGCTTGATCAATTCAAATGACTACAGAGACATGATCACAGAGAGCATTAAACATGTAGTTACTTATAGAACTGAGATTAGTTGAGAGCTAAAATGGAAAGAGTATTCTCTATAATGGGCATATGTTTCAATAATACAGAAATAGTACAATATTTTAAAACTAGGGGAGAAACAGCAAAAGTAGATATAAACTTTTTGGATTTTTAAAAACCTATTCTCAGTAATTACACTGGGGATGGTAGCATTAGTATTATTGAGACCATTATGTATATAATCTGGGATAAAATAAATGAGTGATTATGGAGTAGTCTATCATCCCCTGTGTCCTTGAAAACCAGGATTCCTGCTGTGGAAGAAAGGGGATAGAAGTAATACAGAACAGGTTAAACTAAAAATCACAAAATGGAAGTATCAGTGTAAACTGATTTTGGCATTTTATCTCAGTCTGTCCACTGCAGTGGCCTAGAAACCTAATAGCAATGAGCACACCCAGGGCCTAGACAGGGTCCTCGAAATACTATTTCCTACTAAAAGATACTAGAGATTCTTAAAGAAATGGCTTTAAGGGTGAGGGTAGGGATGGGAGCAGATCTTGTCATTACAAAAAGCAAAGCTATGAAGCCATGAAGCCATGAAGGACCACCAGGGTCACTGCTAGGACTCAGGACAGCTGCTTAAAGCTGGGGATGGGAATCGGTGATGACCGCAAATGGGCATGTGGTTTCTTTTAGGGCTGATAGATATGTTCTAAAATTTGATTGTGATGATATAGATAAATTTTTGATACAAACCCAAAATAAGTGAGTTGTATCAACAGTCAGCTTTCTAGTTGTGAAACTGTACTATATAAAAAATATGAAACTGTACACTTAGTATGTTGAAACTTATGGTATGTAAATTACATCTCAATAAAGCTGTTGGAAAAAAAGATATGCCCAAACCTTCAAAAGGGATCATGATTTCGGTGTAAAATAAAATAAAATAAAATATGTTTTGGTTTTTTTTCCCCAGAGACAGGGTCTCACTCTGTCAGCCAGCCTGGAGTACCACGGTGCTATCACAGCTTACTGAAACCTCGAACTCCTGGGCTCAAGTGATCCTCCCACCTCAGTCGCCTAAGTAGTTAGGACTATGGACACATGCTACCATATCTGGCTAATTTTTTGTATTTTTTGTAGAGATGGGGTCTCTCTCTCTCTTGCCCAGGCTAGTCTTGAACTCCTGGCCTCAAGCGAACATCTGCTTCGGCTTCCCAAAATTCAGCTGGGATTATGGGCATGAGCCACCATGCCTGGCCATAAAATATATTTAAATCCATGAGTTCATGAAGACTTTTTTAAATCCAGTGATTACACAAATCTACATTTGTGGTAAAATTGTACAGAACTAAATATATACACAGACACACAAATGAATAATATAAAACTGGTGAAATCAGACAAAAACAAGTGGGTCATATGAATGCTCAATTTTCCAGCTGTGAAACCATACTATAGTTATATAAGATGGTACCATTGGAGGAAACTGGGTGAAAAGTACACCAGATCTCTCTGTATTATTCCTTACAATGCATGAGAATATATGATTATCTGAAGATGAAATATTTAATCAAAAAATACTCTAACTGGTCACCTTTGAAGAACAGTAGGGAACCAAATCTATATCTTAAAAGCTAATAAAGAATCAAGCATTTATCTTATCTTTCCTGTATGACCTGCAACAATAGTTAAGAAACAGTAGATGAATGGAACTATCTCTTTATGAAAGAATCTCCATTAATAAATGAAAAAGATTAGATTATCACCATCTAAGGTTTGGCTATGTCCCCATCCAAATCTCATCTTGAATTATAGCTCTCATAATCGCCAACTGTCATGGGAGGGACTCGGTGGGAGGTAACTGAATCATGGGAGCAGGTTTTCCTGTGCTGTTCTGATGATAGTGAATAAGTCTCACGAGATCTGATGGTTTTATAAAGGGTAGTCACCCTGCACACACTCTCTTGCCTGCCACCATGTAAAACGTGCCTTTGCTCCTCCTTCACCTTCGGCCATGACTATGAGGCCTCCCCAGTCATGTGGAACTATGAGTCCATTAAACCTCCTTTTCTTTATAAATTACCTAATCTTGGGTATGTCTTTATTAGCAGCACGAGAAGAGAGTAATACACCATCTTATGGCCCCCAATGGATTAATGGATTAGACATTGAGCATCAACAGCCACTAACATCGTAAAAAGAAACAGCACCAGACATCAGGTGCCTCTTGGGGAAAGAAGCCACCAATTATCTGATGTCTTATTGTAGGGTTCATACCTGAGTCTGATGACACTTGGGGATCCAGCTACCAATTTGCAGGAAATACAGAGGTCAGAGAGAACAGGTGAACAGCACCATGACAGAGCATTCAGCAAAATCCAGACTGTAGGAAAGTCTCAAGGCTAAATGTCCTAGATTCTTCAACAGATAAATCACTGGACGAAAAACTAGGGGGTAAGGGGAAGCAACGCAATGAAACGGAAACCTGTAGATTAGAAGAATCTTAAAAGACACAAATTTCCTTTAAATTGGCAAGATTAAACTTGAGATGTACACCTGGAAAATAATATTATAAAGAAATGCAAACAAGTGTCTACTTTGAGAAGCAGGGTAGTGGCTACTTTAAGGACAGAGAGGGGTGATGATTAGGATGTGGCACCTGCATGGGGCTGCTAGGGCAGGCAGAAAAATTCTAATTGTGGACCTAAGGTGAACACAGCTTACATAACTCAGTACGCTGCACATTTGTGTTGTGTTATTTTCTGTATTTGTCTAATTTTACAAAAAAAAAAAAAAGATTTTTTTTAAAAAAGGAGAATTTATCTCACTTTTATAACCTGTCATAAATAGAATGCAACAGTTAAAACAATTACATGAAAATAATATTATTAACTAGCTGCAGTAGCCTGAGGATACTTCCAAGCCCTTTTCTATGTTAAAATGGAGAATAACAAGTGTAGCCAAGTGTTAAGGATATGCTAGCACTCAAAAGTCTTTCTTTTTAACTTAATCAAGTCTTGAAAGACACCTGAAAGGAAAGCACTTTCTCACTATGTGATTCAGGGAGATGGGAGGCTTGCCTATCTACCACTCAAAATCATCTTCTCTACTGCTTAAATTTACTTCGTAGGCCAGCTCACATCTTACTCTTCTGGAGACACTGAGTTACAAAAAAAAAAGAGGTCTGGTGCGGTGAATGAAGGTAAGTCAGGCCTTATGAGGAGGATGAAAAAAACAAAAACTTTGCTCTCCCTGATCATCAACAGATTTATGTTACTCGTTCAGCCCTTTCTAAATAAGCTTAAAAGGTTTGCTTTTCCATTATAAGCATTTAAGCAAGTGACTGACACTACAACCCAGTGAGAGCCGCTTGTCCTCATTCTAGTTACAAGCACACACACTTCACTATGTACTCAACAGGCACCTTCAGAGCCTAGCAATGACCCACCTCTGTCTTCACACCTAATGTGTTTGGAGGTTCTCAAGTGACAAGAGGCCCTGTATCTGAAAACCCAAATTACAAATATAAGCACAAATGCCCTCCCTCACCTGAACTCAGTATCTTAAAATGAGGCCCTCTGTCCCAAGTTGCTGGCTCATCAACACTAGCCTAAACTGACCTCAAAGTCCTTTAAAAAAAAAGGTGGCGGGGGGCGGGTATCAGATTCCATATTAGACTTATAAACTTGTAAGGAGCAAAGCAAGCTGTGAATTCGAATGGAACTCAATCACATTTTTCAAACATTTATCTAAAACACATATTAAAAAGTGGCTCGATTCACCTACATATGATCTGAAAACAAGTCTTGTTTTACCTCACCATTTCCCCCAAGTTTTTCTACGTCAGTTTTAAGAGAAAGAAAACATAAGCCAGGATAGTTTAATTTTTCTTGCACTGATGCTCACAAGAGAGGACAGAGTGAGGCCCACCCATAAAGATGAAGTGCAGACAGGAACTAAAAGGCAACTTGCATTAAAAAGGAAGATAAGGGTTGGATTCCTCTGTCTTCAATGCCTCTAGCCTCATCAGCTTCCCTTGAGTGGGCAGACCCCCATTTCCTTCCCTCTCTCACCATCTCCTATCTCTTTTGCATTCTCTACCCTCTTTGTTTTGTGAACCCTCAACTTCCCAGCTTACCCTCACTCCATCCCTTGTTCTTATATTTTCAAGAGACATGTAAGCAAGCAAATACTCAAACATACACAAACCTGCTAAAATGTCTGGAACAAGAATCCCAAGTTCCACTCATCACAAAGGTGCTTGTGGAAGTCTACTCCACCATTTGTTTCCATGATGTCTGAGAAAAACACACTTCATCTGCATCCCCTGGATCCTCCATATGAGAGGGTATACCCCTGCGTGTAAGAACCAGTTCACCACCTCCATTTTTTATGAATATCCAGAACAAAAGGCTCCTTTCTTGAATGCTACTCTGATCCCATGAATTCAAAAATGTTTAAAGAAGCTCTATCTCCACACCAGCACCTGAGGAGATGGAGACTTTAAGAACAGAATTTTAAAATGTTCTCACTGAGCTCTCCATTCTAGAAATGGCTATAAGTAAATGAAACTCAGAAGTGTCTGGAGCCTACTGAGCTCTACCTAGCAATGCAGTGTGTTCCTTGGCACATGAGACAGAAGCTCAAGGCAGACCCAGCACTTCCTCAGATACCGTCTTGTCCCATTTTCCTTAAGATAAGGCGTCCTGGTCCATGGGCCTATTATTTGGGGTCAGGCCTCAGCAGGAGAATGGTTAGGTGTCAGGGGGAGAGAGGGGTGACATGTGTGGTTTGGATTTTTCACCCAAACCCTTTTCAATGAGCCTTTGAGAAATACAGGAGCCTATTGAAACATTACTTACTGCCTGTTGAATATTGGTCTTCACTTGCTCACTCAACATGCCTTCAAAGACAAAGGAGTCGCCAAACTTCTCAGCCTATAAGGAAGGTAGGAAATAAAAATCCAGAAAAGGTTGTGGTAATGTGTTTCATGTGTGCCATTTTCTCTCCACACTATTAAAGTTATTCCTCTTGTCCAGTTGAACTTGGGTCTTTCTTATGACTTCCCAGGGGACTCAGAAATGACCTAAAAGTCTCTGGCTTCCTCTTAAAACAAGTTAATGTCACTTACAGAGACCATTTTCGTTTAAGACTCACTTAGCTGATAAGAATGCAGACTGAACAAGATGAGTTTTTGAGAACATGACTGTTCCTGAAGGAAATACATTTCCCCAAGTATTACAAATGACTCTGGGAAATAGTATTCTGTACATGTGAGATTACATAATCAAGTTTTGTCCTTTGTCCTGAATCTAGCTAAATGAAAAAATGGCACTGTTTGCTCATATTCTGACACATTCTAGCTCCACTAAGGGGTCAAATGTGCTTACAAATCTCAACTGGCCAATTCAAGCACCAAATGGAAATCTGTATTTTAACGATTTTATTTAACATTAGTGTCTCAAGTCTTCATCCACCTGATTATTTTTGTTGTATGTAACCCTATTCTGAAAATTAGGTCATTTGTCCCTTGGTAACCATGACTCTCCTCCTACATTTCTGAGTGTTCTTATTCATCTCCTAAAATATGTGGGCTCTTGTTTCAGCCACTGAAACACTGTTGCTCCCCAGAGCTCTGCCCTTGGCTCTCCGCACTTCTACTACACCAGTGGCTCTCAGGCTTTGTGCAATTGAGATTATGTAATCAGCTGGTTCAAACTATACACTGCTGCTCCCCAACCCCAGAGATTCTGATTCTGGGGCTCTAGGGTGAGGTCAAGGAGTCTGTATGTGTAAATAGCACACAGCTAGTCATTCTAATACAGGTAGCTCAAGAGATACACTTTGAGATACACTGATCGATGCTTGTTGATGGACAACTTCTTTCAACCTCATCAAATTAACTATAGCCAGTACTCCAAATGACTCTCAAATCTCTACCTCTAGTTCTGTCCTGTTCTTACTAGATGAAATTAACTGAGTACCGGATCTTATATTGCAGATCTTATAAGCACCTCCAACTCCTTTTCCAGAGGGGAGGCTACCATCTCTTCTTCACCCCAATCTTCTTCCTGCATTCCCTTGTGACACTGCCATGACTAACTACCTAAGCCATTTATTTATTCAACAAATGTGTATCAAACACCTACCATGTGTCTAGTTTGGGGCTAAATTAGGGGATATAAGGTCAATATCAGATAGCCATGGTCCCTATCCTTATTGTGCTTAAGTGTGGGAGCACAGAAAAAATCAAGCAAACAAAGAATGGAAGAAAATAATTATAACTTTACTTCACCTTGTAAGGTAAAGAGTGTCATGAAAAACGTTCTTGAGAAAGTGACACTTAAGATGAGACAACTCAAGAATGAGAAGGAGCCAGTCATGCATAAGGGGGATAAGCAAGAGAACTGTGAATTCCAAGCAGAGAGAAAATAAGGACCAAGCTCTTGAGGTGGGAAAGAATGTTGCGTTTTCAAGGAATAGAAACAAAATCAGCAGGGCTAGAACACGGTACACAAGAGGAGTGTGATATAAAGTGAAGCTGGAGAGATGGGAAAAGAAGTCTATAGAGTGCCATTAAAAAAAATAGAGCATATGGTCCAAGGCAGTTCTTGGTCCTTTTTGAGCTCCTTGGCAGTATGGTGAAGCTTAAGAACCCCCTTCTCAGAATAAAACATTTAAATGCATAAAATAAAATCAATAGTATTATGAGGAAAAGTCATTATATCAAAATATTAATAAGCAAATTAGTGCTATAGTATTAAATATGCTCTTCATTAATATATTAAATAAGATCTAGTGGCAGGTCTCATAATTATCATATTTCAAAGTGGGGATGAATGCAGACAATATTTCAAGATCTCTGCAACAACAAAAATATGATTAAAAATGTCTGTGATTTCTACTGGTAACAAAGTCAGAGGTACTGCTACTACTGCTGTGGTTTGTTGTTTGCATCATAATTGAAGGAAATACTACATTTGGGCTCGAGGGTAGTAAATAACCAGATATATTAGATTGGTGCAAAAGTAATCACGGTCTTTGCCATTAAAAGTAATGACAAAAACCGTAATTACTTTTGTACCAACTTATAACTTTTCCCCATCCATGTTTTTAGATGCCCTAAGTTCTGCTTATTCTATCTAATCTTCATGGAGAACCCTGTTCTTTAGAAGTCTTCTAACTTAAGTAAACTAATGAGGAACCTGAGCTGAGAATATCCTGTGAAACCAAAAGGAAAAGGACTTCTGCTTACTAGAAATGTGTACAAAAAAGGTTTCTAACCACTTTGTATATTTGAGGAAATTCCAAAGAAATGTGACAATGCAAAACCAAATTTGAAAGTTGTTTTACTTTATACATTCACTCTCAAATTATTCACTTAATAATAATTTACAAAAAGACATTTGGGGCCTTAAAGAAAAAAAAAAGGAACAGGGACTCCACGAACTGAAGACAAGAGTAAAGTTTTTTTGTGAGAGAAAACTAGAAAGCAAATAAAATAAGTGTAGTTCAGAAAGTGACATAAACATTCATAGACTAGAAAGCCTTCCTCTTCCTATTCCCATTTAGGACAACATCCACTTTCAGAACCTTGCTTTGTGATTCAGTGACCACCACATAATGTTTGGAACTGCCACAGCACAGTGTGTGTGAGTTGTCAAGGTATTGGAATAAAGCCACAAAAATGAAAAACTGCACTTCTGCATTTATCACTTAAAAAATATGAAATGCTTCTGGAAAAACCAAACTGCGATTTACTGAGAAGAAAAGTGGTCTTACTTTGCATGTCATCTGTTATTTCAAAAAGCCTTAGTGGTCAGTGGTATTCTCTGACACATTAAGCATTAACACAATATAGTGTAATAGTTACAGCACAGGTTCTGAGGTCACACTGGCCAGGTTGGAATCCCAGCTCTACCACCAACTAGCTGTGTGATGTGGGGCAAATCACTTTTCTAATCCTCAGTATGTCACCTGAAAAATAACCTGCCTCATAGGGTTGTTGTGAGAAATCAAGATGAAATATATACAATAAAATGCTTCACACAGTTCTACCACAGAATGTGGTAAAAGTGGTCAGTCACTCTGCGCTGCTATTAAAGCATTCTTAAAAGTTCTGGAAAAGAACAAGCTCTCCCTCCTTTCCCCAATCCCATTACCTCTGTCAAATAGCCAGTTGAGTTCACAAACTTCTCAAATTCAGCATTACTGACTTCATAGGCATCCATGTAAAAGGCATCAATAGTAACTCTCCTCGCAGGTGCTTCCCCATCCTGCTTTATCTGAGGATCATCTGTGCCCATTGTAAATACTCCGGCAGGGATGGGGACCATCTACAATGAAAGGTGAAACACAGGAAGTCATGCATCACAACCAAGGTGTACCTGTGTAGGGGTAAGGTTCCTAGCACCCAGTAAGCACTCAATAGTTAGTAAATCTTCACCACAGTAATAACTGTAAAATTAGGAAAAATCTCTCTATACCCCAAAGAAGGTGAATCACAAGTCTCTCAAAAAGAAGTGAAAATTCTTTAGGAAGGTAATCTCCTTAATCAAACCTTTACTGATACAAATCTATACCTGTACTGGAAACAGATCTGGAATAACAGTCACTAAGCCGCTAATGGCTGGAATGCAGAGGTAGGGAGAATATTCAACTTTCCTTTTCTTTTGAGACAGGTTCTCACTCTTTTGACCAAGCTGTTGTACAGTGGCATGATCAGGGCTAACTACAGCATTGACTATTGACTTCCCAGATTCAAGAGATCCCCCCACCTCAGTCTCTCAAATGGCTGGAGTACAGACACGTGCCACCATGACCAGCTAATTTTTTTTTTTTTTTTTTTTTTTTTTAGATGGAGTCTTGCTCTGTCACCCAGACTGGAGTACAGTGGCATGATCATGGCTCACTGCAACCTCCACTTCCTGGGTCCAAGCAATTCTCCTGCCTCAGCCTCCTGAGTAGCTGGGATTACAGGCACCCACCATCATGCCCAGCTAATTTTTGTATTTTTAGTAGAGACAGGGTTTCACTAAGTTGACCAGGCTGGTCTTGAACTCCTGACCTCAGGTGATCCACCCGCCTCAGCCTCCCAAAGTGCTACAATTACAGGTGTGAGCCACCGCGCCCAACCTAGCTAATTTTTTTTTAAGCCATGGGGTCTCACTGTGTTGCCAAGTTTGGTCTCCAACTCCTGGGCTCAAGTGATCCTCCCACCTCAGCCTTCCAAACTGCTGGGATTATGAGCCATCGTGACCAGCCCCACTGTTTTCTTTATACATATTTTATTCGCATATGCTTTTGTTTCTTTGAATTATTTTTAAAAGCACATGTAAAAATGCAATCTCTATCTTTAAATAACCACTGCATGAATTTTGGCCTCCAACAATCATGAAAAAGGCTTACCTCACTAAAATAGAAAGTTTTAAAGTTTACTAAGGGGCTATGTGTTGTATAATTCCTTATAAAACCCCTAATTGCAATTACTTTGTTCCTATCTACCTTCCCACATGAACTCTAAACTCCAAGAAGACAGCAACTGGGGCTGCCTTATTCACAGCTCTGTTCCCAACACTGAGCACAGGGTCTGAGGATCACACTGAAAATGTTCAGTTAAAAAATGCAGGTCCATGCTCAACATCATGAGTCATTAGCGAAATGCAAATCAAAACTATAATGAGGTTCCACTTCATGATCACTAGCATGGCTATAACAAAAAAGACACAATAACAAGTGTTGATGAGGATGTGAAGAAATTGGAACCCTCATATATAGCTGGTAGGAATGTAAAATAGTTCAGCTGCTTTGGAAAACAGTCTGGCAGTTTCTCAAAAAGCTAAACAAAGAGTTATATGACCCTGCAGTTCTCCTAGGTATATACCTAAGAGAAATAAAAACATATGTCCATGCAAAAACTTGTACAAATGCATTCATAGCAGCATTATTCATAATAGCCAAAAAGCAGAAGCAATCCAAATGTCTATCAACTGATGAATAAGTAAACAAAATATGGTATATCTATAAAATGGAACAATATTCAGACATAAAAAGAAATAAGCACTGGTTCATGCTACAGTATGAGTGAACCTTGAAAATACTATACTAAGTGAAACAATCCAATCACAAAGGGCCACATATTGTATGAATCTATTCGTATGAAATGTCCAGAATAGACAAATCCAAAGAGACACAAAGTAGATTAGTGGTTGCTAGAGGGAGGCAGGAATGGGGAATGATTGATAATGGGCATAGGGTTTCTTCTTGAGATGATGAAGTATTCTGGAATTAGGCAGTGATAGTTGTAACACCTCATAACTATACTAAAAACCACCAAATTGTACATGTTAAAAGAGTGTATTGTATGCTATATGAATTCTATCTCAACTTTTTTCAAAAACCACAGGGCTTCAACCATACCATCTGTCAGAAATACACTCTTAACAGACATAATGTCTTATTTTCAAGTCATTTGAGTGAGTCAATTAATAGACTCCACAGCAGCTTAGGAACTGTCAAGTCCTTCATCTATAAACAAGGGCTCAATATTACAGAATAAAATGGATCATAAGAAACTACTTATAAACAATTATAGATCTACAAATTTGATAACCTTGAAAAAAAAATGGATAAATTCCTAGAAACATAAAGCCTATCAAGACCAAATCAAGATGAAGTAGAAAATCTGAACAGACTGATAACAAATAAGGAAACTGAATAAATAATTTTAAAAATTGGCCAGGCACAGTGGCTCACGCCTGTAATCCCAGGACTTTGGGAGGCTGAAGCAGGTGGATCACCTGAGGGCAAGAGTTTGAGGCCAGCCTGGCCAACATGGCGAAACCCTATCTCTACTAAAAATACAAAAAATTAGCCAGGTGTGGTGACAAGTGCCTGGAATCCCAGCTACTTGGGAGGCTGAGGCAGGAGAATCACTGGAACCCAGGAGGCGGAGGTTGCAGTGAGCCAAGATTGCACCACTGTACTCCAGCCTGGTGACAAAGTGAGACTCCATCTCAAGTAATAATAATAATAATAATAATAGTAATTTTCCATCAAGAAAAGCCCAGAACCAGATGGCTTCATGGCAGAATTCTAATTTAAAGAAGAACCAATACCAATCCTTCTCAAATTCTTCCAAAAAATTGAAGAAGAGGAAACACTTCCAAACTCATTTTATGATACCAGCATTACACTGATACCAAAGCCAGACAAGAATACTACTAGAAGAAAAAATATACATATATATATACAGGCCAATATCCCTAATGAACATAGATGCAAACATTCTAACAAAATACTAGCAAAGTGAATTCAACAGCACATTAAAGGGATCATATGCCAAAAATTAAGTGGGGTTTATCCCTAGGATCAAAGGGTAGTTCAACATATGCAAACCTACACATGTGATATGCCATGTTAGCAGAATGAAGGGCAAAACCAAACGTTCACATCAATATATGCAGAAAGACATTGGCGAAATTCAACATCTTTTCAAGATAAAAACTCTTGACAAGTTAGGCATTGAAGGAATGTACCTTAATATAAGCCATATATGAAAAGCCCACAGCTAACACTATACTCAATGGGGAAAAATTGAAAGCTTTTCCTCTTAGATTCAGAACAAGCCAAGGATGCATACTCTTGCCACTTCTATTCCATATAATACTGGAAGTCCTAGACAGAGCAATCAGGCAAGAGAAAGAAAGAAACAGCATCCAAGCTGGAAACAAAGACGTTATATTGTCCCTGATTGTAGATGCCATGATTGATTTTTTTTGAGACGGAGCCTCACTCTGTCTACTAGACTGGAGTGCAGTGGCGCGATCTCAGCTCACCACAAGCTCCGCCTCCTAGGCTCATGCCATTCTCCTGCCTCAGCCTCCCGAGTAGCTAGGACTACAGGCACCTGCCACCACACCCGGCTAATCTTTTTTTTAAATTTTTTTTTGTATTTTTAGTAGAGACGGGGTTTCACTGTGTTAGCCAGGATGGTCTCGATCTCCTGACCTCATGATCCGCCCTCCTCGGCCTCCCAAAGTGCTGGGATTACAGGCCACAGCGCCCGGCCAGCATGATCTTACATACAGAAACCTAATGGCTCCACCAAAAAACTGTCAGAACTGATATATGAATTCAGCAAAGTTGCAGGGCACAAAAATCAATATGTAAAAATCTGCAGCATTTCTTTTTTTTTTTTTCTTTTCTTTTTTTTGAGACGGTGTCTCTCTCTGTTGGCCAGGCTTGAGTGCAATGGCGTGACCTCAGCTCATTGCAACCTCCACCTCCCGGATTCAAGTGATTCTCCTGCCTCAGCCTCCCGAGTAGCTGGGATTACAGGTGCCTGCCACCACGCCCAGCTAATTTTTGTATTTTTTGTAGAGACGGGGTTTCACCAAGTTGGCCAGGCTGGTTTCGAACTCCTGACCTCAGGTGATCCACCCGCCTTGGCCTCCCAAAGTGCTGGGATTACAGGCATGAGCCACCGTGCTCAGCCAGCATTTCTTTACACTAGAATGGAACTATCGAAAAAAGATATAGAGAAATTAATCCCAGGCGGGGCGCGGTGGCTCCCGCTTGTAATCTCAAGCCACATTTGGAGGGCCGAGGCATGGGCTGACTCACTTGGGAGAGGTCAAGGAGTGTTCAAGACCAGCGTGACCAAAGTGGAGAACCCGGTCTCCTTTACTAACAAACACAAAATTAGCTGGCGCATGGTGGGTGCATGGCCTGGTAATCAGCACTTGGGGAGGCTGAGGCAGGAGAACTGGTCTGACTCGGGAGGCAAAGGTTACAGTGAGCCAAGAATCGCTGGCCACTGCACTCCAGGCCTGGACCAACAAGGTGAACGCCGTCTCAAAAAAAAAAAAAAAAAAGAAAAAAGAAAGAAATTAATCCATTCACAGTAGCATCAAAAAAAAAAAAAGACACTTAGTAGTAAATTTAACCAAAGAAGTGAAAGACCTATATACTGTAAATTATAAAACATTGATGAAAAAAATAGTATAAAAAGACAAATAAATGGAAAGGCATCCTATGTTCATGGATTAAATGAATTAATAGTAAAATGTCCATAGTACCCAAAGCAATCCACAGATTCAATGTAATTCCTATCAAAATTCCAATGTCATTTTTCAAGGAAATAGGAAAAAAATCCTAAAATTTGTACAGACCCACTAAAGACCCCAAAGACCCAAAGCAATTTTGAACAAGAAGAACAAAGGTGGAGTACCACACTAGCTGACTTCAAAATAAATACAAACCTAATCAAATGGCATGGTACTGGCATAAAAGCTAACACAAAAACCAATGGAATAGGATAGAGAGCTCAGAAATA